TAAAGTGGCATTAGGACAAACTTTCCGACGAAAAGTGCTTGCTGTAGGGCGAATGGATTCGTCAGATGCACTACTGCCTGAGCCCCATCAAAATCCGTGTTTAACCATATTGGTGGCTTCATGGACTACAGGCCGCTGTTTGATAGGCGAACCATCACGTGACAGGGTCCATATGGCCAGCTAGAAATTATAAATCACAGCCTGGGAAAATATGCGTTACGTGAACAAATTCTAACCTCATTCGAAAATTTCATAGAAAATACGCCAGCAAAAGTACACTAAAGTGAAGGAATGTGATGAAATTCTGGGAGGGAGAGGGAAGTGAACCATTCCCTCTTCAGTGCAAAAGCCTTCTATTCTGGAGGCATACCAAGTTAGCGGTTGTCATTTAATAAATCTCATTTTTCTTCTCCTTTTTCCACTAGACGAGTCGTAAACCAAAAAAAATTCACAAATGATTTCTTTGTTGACTAGCTAACCATATGTGACAATTAGTGACTACAAGGGGCGCTTTCATCGCTTTTTCTCATACTTCTCAATGCCTTACTTCAAACTGCGCCCTTGAGAGCCCAGGGGATGTCAGTAGAAGTTGTAACAAAGCTCCACTCAGGTTCTCATAACAATTAAAGCGAAAGCAAGAAGTCATATTCCAAAAAAAACCCAACCTGAATTCCAGCCTCCCTGAGAGCAGTGAGTGTCTCGGGCACTCCCTCTTGCAATTTATCCTCAATTCCAGTGCATCCAACCAGGACAAGATCACGCTCCACAGCCTTATAGGCTTCAGCAAGTGCTTCGTCTCGTCCTTCCAGCCTGCCTCGAGCCGCATCCAAGTCTGTCTTGAGCCTGATCCACTCCTTGGGGGGGCAATAGCGAGCACCCATCACGAGGGTTCGTAGACCTGCTGAGGCAAAATCCGTCACTCTTGCCATCACGAAATCCGAGGTCAGGGAGTATTTTTGGAGGTTTTTGCGACTCCCAAAAAGACATTTAGACAAAAGGTCGTCAGAGGTGGACTTGGTACCGCTGGCCGAGGAGAGTGGCATATTCTCAACACGTCCACACTTGAAGGGAGGAAAATTTAGTAGTATTGTAATGGAGAGATATTTTTTCTCTCTTTGCTTTAACTATGCGGTTTCTGCAGCTATCTTAGTGCTACACTCGTAGTTCCAACTAGAGACAATCTTACCCACTAGAAGACCAAATGATAAGTTTAGGGATTACGTGGGTGGGACCTACGCAAAACAACAATAACCTTGCATTCGATGCCTGGATACCAATTCTAAACATCGTAAAGAGAAAATGTCTGTGGTGGAGCATTAAGTTCGTAAAGATCCACAACAAGGCGACGATCGGCAGCAAGGTGGGAACAAAAGGACAAGGGGAGAGCAATTAAGGTAGCTCTACGAAGCAATCCAAAATTACGCACGCCCTTAAATAGCTGTTTTTAGACAGATGGTCATCAAATGACAATGCTACTAGCTGTCATCCTGTCATGATCGTAAAAAATTGCAGAGCCTTCGTTGTTGCATCGAAATACCCGACCATCCCCAAAAGTCCCACGTAAAATTGTATCAAGAGAGAGGATTAAAAGGAAACTAGGTATTTTAAGTTGTAATTGTTAGAACGCAGGCCCTTCTTTTCCCGAAATCCCTCTGACACGGAATCAATTTCAAGTCTTCAGATCGAGACAGCAGTATGAGTTACGCCTTCTATGATCACATACTATCACTTAGGACCAAAACTCGTTCCTTTGAACTGTTGAGTTTTCTCAGTGAATGGCTGCAACTAGCTCACATCGACCACTTTAATTAGACTCTAAAGTTGGAAGCATTAACGGCTAACCTAATGTTGAGCCTAATTGAATGAATTTCATGTCTCAGGTACTTCATTTGGGAAGCTTTCAAGCTTAACCGGAGCCAAGTCATTGGTGCCTAGGTGCCAAACGCATTCGTTCCAATGTAAAGCAAAAAAATTGCAGGACGGGGGCCAAACCAATCACATGGCTAGTTACACCCTCATTCTGATTGGCTTATAATGCGTTCTCGCCTTTGATTGGTCTTCTTGTCAAGGGAACTCATTTGTCAACCCCAAAATGGTGCGTCTGAAGCCTTTGGGCCTTCTGTCTAGGTTGATACACTTGTGGTGCAGGTAATTCTGACCTTGGGGATTATTTTAAAGTCAGATGGAGAATTCCGAACAAAACGCATGTTTGGTTTGGTCCTAGTTCCTATCTTTGTTGTAATCAGAAATGGGAATGAATCTGAAAGAGAAAGTCATTAATTAAACGAAACCGGTTGGAGCATAAATTAGCCAGTTGAAACACTTGCATTCCGAATCAAAGCAGCGAGCGAAAGTGTCAACTCAGAGTGCCAAAATGTGAACGGATATTTCATTAACAGAGTACCTACTTTGGAAATTAAACAGGATGTTAGGGATTTACCAATTTAATCGAAAGATAGCTTTAAAAGTCATGAGATATGACAAAGTTCACCACACTGCGTCTGTTTTTCTCGCCTTTCAAACAACTCAGTTTCAGTACATGATGCAACCTTTGACCGGAACAAAGGAGGCCCACGCGAAGCGATGCAGCAGTACCATAGATCATTAAGGTACAAGCTTTTTGGCTTTTATATCATTGTTCTATTATTGAAACAGTTTGACAATACAATGGAAACGTTTTTGACAGTTCCATTGTTCTTATTGTGTTCATTACCAGCGTCACATATGTGAGACATGTTTGATTATCACCTTACGATATCCTGTTGCAGTAAATTACTTCCCTAACAGAATAGATGAATTTTAAATAATAAAGAAGATGTAGGGTGCTCCTGGTTTGCGACTATTAGCTTTTCTCTTTCCAAATTTGAACACTACAACCTTCAATAGAGAACTTCACTGGCAAGCTTTGGCATTTGACTTTTCCAGTTGCGAACTCTGTAAAGAATCGCAAAATAAGATTTCATAATTTAATTCACCATTTTTTTGACTGTTTTCAGTGTCAAGGCAAAATTTTATTTATTTTCAGCAAAACACTTTTGTGACAGGTGATGTGTCTGGAAAAAATTGAGCCATCCGGCACTCAAAAAACATCGATGTCTTGCCAACCTTAGGATCAACAATAACACTTTTGATTACATTCTGTAGAGCCTGTTCATTAGCATTTCCAAGTTAAAACACTTTTCTTCATACTCTTTCAGCTGTTATATTCGGAATTTTTTGAAAATGGAATGTATCCAAACATTTTGACTCGTACAGTGGAGTCGACGACGCAATGGAAACTGCTGACAGCTCTTGCTGTGTCGTATCAGGCCAAAAAAGAGCAATAAAGAATGCTAGAAATAGGATTTCTCGGAGCACTGTTAGTGACGATTTGAAGAAGAATGATATCTGCGTTAACTCTTCCTTGCATTGACAATACACCTCCTTCCAAATGTGTATGCGTTAAAGCGTTCGTAGGGGATAATTTGGACGATTGAAGACTAGTCAAAGAGCCAGTACTTACCCTCGGGAGAATGCTAGTTTCAGCACCCTTGCAAAGTATAACAACGCCCTGTTTGGGATCAAAATCGGCAGTATTTTTCCCGCCATCTTGGACGGCTTGTAGAACCACCGACATACACTTTCGATCTGAGTCGAAGCCCAAAACGTCCAGAACGCGGTAACGAGTACCTGTCTGATCGAACACTGTCACAACCTAGTTGCAATATTAATAATAATAAATTTTCGTTTCAGCTTTCGAAAGTCCAAAAGTGAGTTAAGTGTTTGTCTGGTAGATAAAATCATTTCTACGCTACCTATTATCTTCTAAAACCTCGAATTCGGATTCACTGTAACAATGAATCAAGCCTGTGGATAGCTGAGGTTGGGTGGTTGATTTGAGGACTTAAAAGTACGCCAATTACTTTGTAATCAAGTTAATCTGCGTCAAAAAAACACTATCAAAGCACTGCATGAGAAGGAGTGATTGCCACGTTTGAGGCAGCACAGGAATGAGCTTACATGGAAGCCATTTGGATCTATTCCGTGGTAGACAATACCGAAGTCACGACAGCTCTCAACAAAAGCCTTTTCATCGGGTGATGAAGCCTACAAAGTAAGCAAAAGAAAGTAAATAGTACAAGCTAGATGCTCTCTTCCGTCCCATAGTTGACCTCTTCTTTGGGGTGTCAAGAAACTTGATATCTTGGTGTTTTTTTATCATACTGTTCGTGTTTAGGAGGAAAAAAATACCATCCCCACACAAAAAAGAGGAATATGTGCATCGAGACGAAATGTAAATCTTTTGGTTTTAGGTTGGTACATTCTATGGATAGCATAATGGAATCCAAGTACGTTTACCGCCCCCATAAACCGACCCTTTCAGGGCGATGTTAAGGAGGATTCAAACGTCAACCGGAACTCATCAGAATTGGCAGCAAAATAGTGGAAAGCGGACTTAAAATAAGGCATAACAAGTCTATGCTTGCTTTACTTTTATTTAGTACTGTAGGGAGCTTTTGAGTCTTCCCTATTGGTGGCACGCAGCTACAGGCAGTTCACCTACACTACCGGTCGCCCGGTTCGTCTGCACCTCAAGAATGGGGCCGTTTCCATACTTGTAAATCTCCCCTAGAGTTACAGAGATGGTAAATTTATTTGATTCTAATGCGCTCAATAAGGAGGAGGATGCTTGCTGCATGCCTCGGGGCAAAATCTATCACCGCCGTTCAGAATTTTCATAGTCCCAACATGATACATCAACTGACTCACTTGAAAAAATGAAAATATGCAATACCCCTGCTCCAGTCAAAAACGCTCTACATCGTTTCGATGGTTTTATCCTCCACCAATGGGTGGGCGTCATGTTTTGACGCAACCCCTTATCAAGCATCAGCGCACACTTCAAAAAGTCTGTGATGCGCTGGTCCAGGCAAGAAAATTGGAGCTTGTCACGTATGTAATTCTGGTATCAAGTGCTTTTTCAAGGTGCATTTAAGGTCAATGCTACCATGCCTTTATAGTTATGAGCTCAAAAGCCGGAGGAAAGGAGAAGGCATTTGAGGACTAGAATACGGGGGCCAGTGGGCAGCCACCTTGACGGATAATGGTTAAGCGGATGCGTGATCTCCTCCCAGGAAAAACAAACGAAGCTAATAAGATTTTTATTCAAAAAATCGGTTCAGAAGATGTTAAAAAGACGCCACATTGGCAGGTGTGCTTCATTTAGACTTATAATAATCTAATGACAGGGGACACTTTGACACCTGTCAAATAGAACCAAGTCGAAAGCCGGAAGTCAAGTGCTGACACTACTCCCCAATACCGTAATTTGTTGGCATGATGAGCACGTGGTGAACGAATTGAACACATTACCAGTCTGGTCCGTCTTTTGATTGATGGTAGCTGATGACTAGTAGATAGGTGTCTTTGACTTGCAACAACGTCCTCCAAATCTTTTCACTAAGTCAGGAAAGGAACGTGAACTGTTGAGAAAACGGTGTTAAAATACGCTTTAGAAGTATGGAATCAAGCCTTGATGGGGATGACACTCATAAATGTTTAAGGAAAATGTGGAACAGCAGAACATGCGCACTTTGATGGTCAGTGTGACACTGACTATTGTTAACTATGTTGACCGATTTAAATGCTTTTCAGAAAGTAAAAACAATCACACCATCTTCAAACTTGGGACATTTTTCACCTTCTCGATTGTTTGAAGCTCAACCGGTTTGTTTGCGACGTTATTTGTTACAACGAGGTGTCACAACTGCGAGGCAACACATGTCACATATTTGTGACGACAGGGTTTACACGACGGAAGTTGATAGCAGGCTAGACCGTTCGCCATAGTGATCCCGGAACTGTCTTTCGCAATCCCGCAATATGAGAGTAAAAGCTTGTCAAATATGTTGTGAGGAGGTTACTGGTAGAGGATGAAAGGTCTTTTCTGATGTAAAAGACGCAGGATTTGGTGGAGCATTCCTACCGAGGGTAAGGTCTAAAGTCCCTATTGTAGTTTAAATGCATGCCCATATTTGGCTCACAGCTTGTTTTTCTCGCGTGTCCATCCGTGAAGGCAGTCAAAACAACTGTAATCAGTGGTCCGTCCAATAAAAGGTAGGGTAAAACAATAGAGCAACAGCGATACAAGCAATCACTAAGCCGCCACCTTCAAAACGTCACTTTTTAGCCCCAAAACCGCTTCCCTTGGCTGAGGGTGACTTTTTGCGGACAGATAGGTGGCAGAACGAATTATCTACATTGGTCACGAAAATGGATGGATCAAAATACGGAAGAATTTATGGGAAAAAAATTCAACACCTTTATTTATCGTCTAAATGCGGTCGTACTTCTACGGGGTCAAGGTCGTGGGTTTGTTTTTTTTTTCTGAGAAGCACAATAAGACCTTGTGGGTTAAAACGTATCAGCAAACACACTCTAAGATTACATTGTTTCCGATCTAATCCAGTAGCTTTACAATTCTTCCAAAGGACTCAAGTCCAGAAGCTCAGTCTATTTGTGAATTAATCCTGGGAAAGGGAAGCTCGACGAATCATCATCTTCCTGAGAGGATAGGTCTTTAAAGCAACCTTCAAGGTGAAAACTTGCAGGCTGCCACAATATGTAGCTTTTCTGTATTTACCTGAAGGCATTAGTTGAAAGTATAGGGAAAAGGGAGGTGAAAGTTGCACTCTTCTTCCGAACCACACGGTGCTTCCACCTTTCCGCCGCCATAAACATTCTTCTCACTCTGGAAAATATTATCCCATTACCCTTTGAACAAAAACTACATTTCATCTAATAAGCGAGTAGTGAAAGTGAAAGACTCCTCAAATTCTTCACTACCGTGGTTAAAAGGTGAGTTCGTAGAGAGGCTCTGACGCAAGCCCCAGAGAGCGGATGAAATCGCAGTAAACTTTATCCAGCGCTGCCTTCCAAGGGGTCAAAAGCAACCACCTTCTCAGATGTAAATAGAGGCAGTGAGACTTTAAAACAGCCACATAAGCTGCAATTCTGCAATAAAAAATTGAGGACCTTTTGTTTTGCTAGTATCAACTTTGCTCTCCCTGAAAATCTGAGAATGTTTTCAATGTAGAGCGCCGAGTCTTCCCCGAAGTCGGACGAAGTCGTGGGAGTGCGGCGGATGCTACATTACTGATGCACAAAAGGCCTGAGGCTACTAGCATGTCTCAGAGGCCTTTAGCAGAATTAAACAAACAATCATAGCCTTACATTAAATGTTATTTATGCTGTTTACAATTTGGTTTTAATTTGGAGGTGGAAAAAAAGGGAAGAATTTCCAGCCCAAATTGGGCTAACCGTGATGGCTTCTGCCCATCATAGCTAAAATGACGAGATTTTTAACTAAAAAAGCATTATCTCTAGGAAAGAAAGTGCTTTCTCAAGTCAACTTAAGTGTAGCCGTCAAAAACAACCGTGACTCTGTAAAAGGCAAATAGTTCATTTACGTGGCCTTTGTTTTTTCACAAGGACGCTTTGAAAGTTTTTTTTATTCGGCAAAACAAAAAAACAGCGACAAATTTATCCAGAAGTAAAAGTAGTTCTTCAAACGCACCGGAATTCGCTTTCAGCGGCATAAAATCACTCAAAATTGGAGGGTAATATGGACGGCTTCATAACCCGCCTTTCCAGTACTACTGAAATGTTCAGCTAAGTAGTATCTGCTCGATCGACTTAAACGCATTCTTGTTTATTCTTAACTGACCCCTAGTGGATATTTGCGCGGAGATCGAGGCTCCAGCCCTCCAAAAAAGCACCTCCGTCAGAAGAGCATTTGAAAATGTATATTTTTCTATGTGTGGATGTGCGATATGTATATGTCAGTGCCTGGTCCCGAAATTTCATGTAACTTCTGTTTCTGTGTGCTAAATGACGTCAGACAGCAAAAAACTGTAGGATTTCACACGCTGAAAAACTGCCAAGTTGGTGCGACAGCTCAACAACTCAGGGGTTAGTGGCCTTTAAACGGCCCGAAGGGTTCAAATGCATTGAAGAGTTGCAAGAGGCCACAACTATAATTATTCATCCACGCAGGAGATAGCAGTTGGGTTCTAAAGTGAACCATCAAAGAGTACTTTGTTACTATTCCATTAATCTTGGAAGTTTTCTTTGATAAGAAACCATTTTAAAATCCACCATAATCAAAGCGGGTTGCTTAAGAAACAGGAAGGCAAAGCCGTGCCAAATAAAAATACTTTTGTTGCACGAAGCTGGGGTAATTGTTTTTGGGATTTGGGGAATACAAAAGATCAGCTGCCACCTTTCCAGTTGGGTCAACTTTCCTTGTTGAAAACAAGTGGACGTGCATTAACGCTAACGCACTCAAATGAAACCCGCTTTACCGAGCATGAGGCTTTGCATGGAGCAGGCTGATGGAGAGTTCTAAGGGTCACATTCAGCTATCCTGCTGCCTCTTCAACTGCTCTTCAGTTCCGAGGTTCTTTATTCACTCCCCTTGATCGTGTCTGTTGCTGATGGATGTCCAGGACGCTCCACATCCATTACACTCGGTGATGAAGCATTCGTTTTAGCGCAGAGCACACATGTTGAAGAATATAAGTTTGTGCTTCTGATACGGAAAGCGTATGACAAAACGTAATTCTGTGTTGGCGCGATTTGCATACGATTACACTGTCCCCAACCCACGATAATGACTGAAAGAACACCCAGCTTGTGAGGCAGTAGTCACACGGAAGGTTGTGACAGGAGAAATTACTACTACTCTCCGTGCCTTCGTTGCTTTCGACACCAGAGATGTAAAATGAATGAAAGCAATGAATTTAACCTATGTCAGATCCTTTTAACTTTTCCAGTAAACAAAAGGAATTTGGAGTTTGACCCTTTCTAACGTATAAAGACAAGTGCGCCTCTGATCCTACACTTCAGGCATCTAATTTGTCAGGATATCTATACCATCCATCACCTTGGTGGGACATAATTCTCTTCTTTCCATTTAACTACGAAAGCCTCTTCAGTCATCCATGATTCTGTTGCCATGACGAAGACGCACAGCCACACTCGTGCCACCAAAAATAAGTCTGTCATCACTACTGGAAACGGATGTTAAAGTCACTTCTGGGCTTGTATATCCCAAGAGGTTACTCAAAGATTAGAGTGGTGAGAGCTTTGGCGAACCGGATCCATAAGAATACTGAACACTACCTCCAAAATGCCTAACAATGTCGACAACATTACAAATGTTCCACCTGTTGGCAGTGACGATGTTATTGTGCAAACGCAATGACGAATAAACCAGAATGGTCAGCTCGCTCACCTGATAATCATAATTGGTCTTCATGATTCCTGTTCCACGTCTTAAACTAGAGATTGCGTCTTCCGCGGACTGCATAGCAGAGGCGCGGCGCATGATGCTGGCCTGTCGTCTAGGCGGTGCTCTTCGCGACTTTAAGTCCGTGATGAGTTTGAGCGGCTTTTTCAGCCTTTTCTTCCGCCCCTCTAATCCACTCCGAGGTTTTGAAGTGCCGACAGGTTTATGGCCTACCTGTTCAATCTCTCGTTCCACACGGACAGTGTGACAGAGTGCCAGAATTAGGAAGAGAATTCGAGCGTCTTCGGGCATTTCTGTTGGCTTTATACCCATTCCCGATGTGCGTGGAGACTGAATATCAGCTATAGAGGAGACTCGCTGGCTGACCAAGGGAAAGAGTCGGTCATTGCGGGCGTAGTAAGTCCCGCTAGAAACAGAGAAGCGTTGAAAGACCATGCAGTTCTCTGTCAGGGTGCCAGTCTTGTCGGAAAAGAGGTATTCCACCTGCAATGGAAGGGGTGAAAATTATATTCCCAGTCATGTGCTTCTACTTGTGCTTTTTTACCCAACCTTTTTCCTTACCAAACAGATTTCCGTGGATTCTTGGAATATGTTTTGATTGCGTACGCTACTGAAGTTCTGCAGTAATATCTACCAGAATGCGTTTATATAGGTTTTGAGCACGTTCTTTTTAACATATTAAAGTCTAAATTATCGCAGTTTCCTTGTTTCTTCTCATTAACAGATGTATTATCATAGATCTGTGAGATTAATCTCAGTAGTTCCTACTACTTATAACCCACAGTAGTGTACCCCAAACGAAACGTCCTTACGAAGAAATGAAGTGTACCCTTTCCTGTGGAAGAGGTAAGTAGTAAAGTTTAAACCAAATTAAAAGAAGTCTAAAATGCTTTCTTTTGAAGTGCGGCGAATTATGATTGCGTGAACGGTGAAATGAGAACAGATTTAAACAGTTAACAGGACGTTTTGCATGACAAAGTTATTCAAAAAAACCTCATCAAGGTCACTCCCGACATGTGTAAATTGTATTTATTAAATTAAAACACTGGTGCAATTGTTAAATATGTTTCAAGGAATGCAACACTTCTACTACAGCCATATTTACTTGAATGAATCACTGACAACAACTACCAAATACATTTCAAGAAATAGAACATTTCTACTACAGTCTTGGAAACGCGTCCCACCTGATTGCACCCTGCCAGGTGCTTTCAAGGATTGCAATAATTAGAATGCGAAGTGAAGAGAGGGGAACAAGCAGACCTCTTGAAGTGGACATTCAAATACAATATCCAAACAGAAGGCTACAGTCGACTGGGGCGGAATTAAACGACAAAAGTTGTCTGCTTTGTTTGCACAACTAATCACTAAGTGAACACCATCTGACCAAGTCAACACCGATAAGGCTTGACTGAAAAGTGCTTTCGGCAGAAAAAAACAGATTAATGAATGTTAAAGGACCATTCATTTGTGAGAATTACAAGATGGCAACGAGACCATATTGCATCGCAATGCGATGTCGCAAATTTAGATGTTCAGATTAAGGTGAATGGAGGTGCAGAACCGAAAGAGCTAAAAGATTTGAATAGGTGATGAAATTGAAATATGGTATGCTCCACTAAAATAACCAATTGTGAGAGAAGTAACAGTCAATCAGCCTGTCTTCATTGTCAACGGAGACAGGTTTAAAACGTAAAGGCCTCTTACCAACCCACCGTAAACTAGCTGACTTTGCACTCCTTGAAAGCTTGTAATTTACAACTGCACACCATTTTAGATAGTAACCAAGTAAACATAACGATGACAGACTGTCATCAAGGTATGATAAATCGACCCTCAAAGTAAAACGCAATCATTCAGTTTTGAATAATAGCAATCGGTTGTTGTGGCTGAAAGGGAAAAAAACAGCTAAGATTCGCGTTCAAGGCATGTGCTAAGGGTCACTCCAAAGTCAAATATCCAGGCGTATCCATTCAAGAACAAGACACTCCCTGTGATGACTAGGCAGTTCAAGTGTTCAGTTTTCCCCCCTCAAAGCCAGGGCTTCCTGTCACAGGCAATCAACCTTTGTCCACCAGATAGATACCCTTGTCTCTAGCACAATGAATAAGGGTGGTTTGGCCCAGTAAACACCAGTTGCTGTAGGGACCGGTTACACAGGCAGTGTCTGCACGGCAAATTGAGATTAATTTATTCACGCCTGACTTATTACTTGGCCATACAATCAGGCTTCACGGTATTGACAGCCACATGGTAAAGCTAACATGTCCACAGTCGACTGGTCTGAGCACTGGCAATCATGGCTCCAAGTGCCCACCAATTAAATTATCTATGGACTAAGGCGGTTAAGTGACCACCCTAGTGGCAAGCACAAATAGAGAGCTTTATGTTATACTATATTGTTGCCAGGTATTATTGCCAGGTTAAATACGTGGGATATACCAGTGTTTAGGATCATAGGTGGCGAATAAAAGCGGCACTTTGTGGCCCTTGCCCTTCATGGAAAGACTCCACGTCTACATGACGACATTAAAGAACGCTTTATTATTGCAAATGGAACTTCAGAGACCGCGGTTATGGGTTTCCTTGGTGCCACGGCGCTTTGGCTGTATACTTTGCGGTTTAGGGGTCAATGGACCATCTATTCATGTTCCGTAAAGAAGTGTCAGCCAGATTACCACCTCTTGAGACTATACAAACGATACATTAGTGACGAGGGTGTAAAAATCCAGAAGTCTTAGTTTGGATATCAAACTTTAACTTCGCCGAATGAAATCAGGACAGGCAGAGAGTCTCGAGAGAGGGACTAGGGGAGTCGTCACCCGTCTTTTACGGCATGGCTGCCCACGATATTCATGTGAAGGAGTTGCAAATAGCATGAAGAAGTGTTGCCTCCGCCAGGTCCCCAACAGATGAGTACAACCCAGAAGGACAGTTGAGTAGCACTAAAATGAGGTCATGTCCTCCGACCCCTGTGTTAAATGCAATGAGGGGGAACTCAGTACCCTCCACAAACCACCGCAACTGCAAGAAAGATGAGTGAAGATGGTTTTTCTAGCAATGAGGTCAAAAATGGTGCTAAAGGTAGGCCGAATGGTGCGAAAGGTTGCATTATAAAATGCACACCGTGGTGTTGTCAAAACCCACTCATTTTAACGGTATGTAAACTTCAAATAACCAAATATAATGGGGAGCAATACTCTAAACGGAAAACTGCCCTTTTTGTTCATATAACCAGTCCAGAGCTTCCTGTAAATTTATTTGTTAAATGACTAGCAATTAACCACAAATTTTCACAGGCAACTCATAATGCAAATTGAAGCCTAAATGACGGTCATTCCGACAGGTTTAAATAACAGGAGGGAGGGCGGGGGAAGAAGCTTGCAATCACCTAATGGTTGTTGACAAGTGCTTGAATGTGGGTACCGGCGCGCTCGGATAGAAACAAAGCCTTAAAAAATGAGCTAAGAGGTAACCTTCTCTCCTGTAACCTTGACTAGAGAAGGCTAGTTAAAACGGGATGAGTCACAAAGTCTGTCAATCAGTCAACCGATAGGTGCTAATTTTACCCGAAGTTATAGATACATATATCACACTTTGTGGGTGTTCAGATACACTCCATGGGCACCTATGTGTTATGATTCAAGATAACAAATAGTGCGAAGACAGACGCCCCCGAATCGCACCACATTTGAGGCCCTCAAGTGTTCACGTGAAGTGGTCTAACAGAGGACACGTTTCAATAGGCGCAAGGAGCGCTGCTTGACAGCATGAAAGTGGTGCTACTTTAGTGCAAAGTGAAAAGCAATTCACTGGTATCACCTGGCTTGCAATCACGCATTCCAAATAACCGACATTTGCGAAGATTTTCAGTGAAAATTTGGTGAAGAGACAAGAGGCAGGTTTGCATGCGCCATTCCGCTTATCAATGAAGAGAATGTAGATGTAAGATAGAGCACAACTAGTACGGTTGGATTTAAGGAGGATCAAAGGCTACCCTTCACCGACTTCTTTTAAAAAAGAAAAACCCGCCGAAAAGCGCAGTTTTTATTTTATGTGGGGGACTTTTCAGTCCAATTCAAATTCAAAGCTGCATGACTTTGACAACCCTACATGAAGCCCACGGTAGGTGAAAAAGCTAAAAGCCTCTTGTATGGATACTTATAGCTACTATAGGTACCATGGTAACAACGCCCAATTCAGACTCCTGTACCATCTTAAAAGCAGATCCTACAGCTTCATGCGCCAACAAAAATCCTACTCAAAGACTAGCTTTATTACGGAGGTTAAGAGAATATGTTATAGTGGCAATGAGATGTACTGAGACAAACAAAATTAATCAACTTACTTGACCAAGCTCTTCAAGGATGTCGGATGTGTTGACCAGAGCCGGTTCCCCAATTTCCTCATCATACATCTGAATGTCCCATCCAAAAAACATGGAGCCGAAGAACTTTTGAAACTCAATTGTCACGTAAAGGGATATGGGAATGATGTAATTGAAGAGGACAAGAAAACCTAAGAACTCTTGCACAACAATCCAAGTGGTTGGCTTGACTAGGACAACGTACCAGGCAGAGTTTGGACGCAGTGAGAATTGCAGAATCGTGTAGAAAATTGAGATTGTTACCAGTAGGCCCAAAATAGCCACAAGGAAGGTATTCAACTGTCGTTCAACCTGTGAGTACTTTGTCTGCTTCCCTTTGGAGTTGAGAGACATCTTAGTATCCGGACCTGTGTATACAGCGACACCGTAAATGAAATCGGTATCACGAAGTCTTGCCCCACGAAGAAGCAGACATTCAGGACCCAGAGGTTCTGTGGACTCAGAGCCATTTATGCGTACAGTAATCCTGCCATAAAATTTGTAGAAGTCATTAACCGGTTGTTGGCAAGTTATAGTGCCCTCTAATTGCGTTGCCAGAGTTTCCGGTGATTCGAGATTCTTCGTAGCAGATATGGCAACAAAGCGCTTGAGATTCGTCTCTCCATCCAGACTAGCAGTTGTCACGTAACACTCGCCGTTACTTTCACTAGAACTGAGTAACACAAGATCACAAGGAAATGTGTCATTCGCTCTTTGCAAAACAATGTCACCCACGGAGATTTCAAATGCCTTTTTTGTAACAAGAGTGCCATCAGAATTTACAAGTTGGACCGGGGCGCTGTTAATTTCTCGATCAGCTTTGTGGCGCAAAAAGTCTTCATAGCCCTGCTTTACCATTGTAAGAAGTATCACAAACGCTAGGGGCAAAATAGATGTTACAGGAGAGACCGGTGAGTCGGTAAAGAGTTGGACAATGGCAATACAAAGGAAATAGAAATTTGCAATTCGCTGAGCCTGCTCCTCAAGATTTTGAAAAATAAAACCATACCAAGTGTATCTAGACGTACTAATTTCGTTGTTTCCATAAAGCTTCTCTAACGACCAGGGTTCGGAAACAAATTTGGCTTGGGATATCGGGCCAACTGGAATTTCACGATTTTCAGGCCATGGAGGTCTGTGAATTCCAAGTTTGATCTGAAGCTTCCTGAAACACTTCATTATTCTATTTCACCACAAAACAAGAGAGCAAGGAAAATTAGTTGTAGTGCATCAATGCGATGCCCTGCATAGGCTCCTTCTGCACCCCATTGAAAGTGAGCAGACAAAGTTGACCTTGGAAATTAACATTCATGAATACGTCTAAACTCATAAAAACTAATATTAAGGTGTTTGAGCAATGTAAGTCCGTAGGTTACACCTAAACTAATCACTTTTTCCAAGCTTAGGCTCTGAAAAATAGCTCCATAGGGAAAACAGGGTTTTAGTTAAAAAAGCTCTTCCTTGCCACTTTAAGTGAACTATTCCAAAGAAAAAACGTTGGTTTGTAGTATTTTGAAGTAACTATAATAAAAGGTGTCATCCAACTACCAGTGAGTTTATGCAAGTGGAAAATATCATTAGATATGCAGAGAGCATCGTCAAAATTCTATTAACTCGACTTCTGTTCCAAAAATTCTAGCAATATTTGTAGGTTGTGTATGTAAAGATTATAATGCGCAAAATTTTTAGAAGTCCGTATGGATAAAGCTGATGACATGTTACACCGCGGGCAGAATCTGTCTTTCCCATTAGATCATATGCAATACGATAGTGGTTTATCCCTCGGTTCTGGTGAGGCGCCACTTTTGTACTTTGAATTAGCCTCCTTGTACCTCGCTGGGTGGGCTAACCCTTTGGGCCATGCCAATAGCCCAGACACATTCTCTGCACTGAATATATATTCTGCCCGAGTATTTTGTCTTCTTTCGTCTTCAGGGAGTCTCGGGCCGCTACACATAACATGGCAAATATATTCAGGGGAAGTTATTTAAACTGAGTTAGAGCACCTTAGAGACTTTTTTAGAGATGGAAAAACTATAATGCGCAGGCGGAATATGTATGTTCGACATTTAGAAGGCATTAGGCTTGCTGTCATGGGTCGGGGCAAGCCCACGCAGCAGGACAAGACAAAGTAACCCTGTGCATAAACCGACCACTTAACAAACAACTGACTTATTGCAGAATAGAATTTTAAGCGATCACCTTCTACCGAACTGCCAGGCGACTATGATAAATCCACTTATTTAAAAAGTAATGAACTGCCTCAGGTGACGCCAATGTGATCTGATTTACTACGCACCATCTAATACATTATCGACCTAGGAAACTTAATTGATCAGGTTTTAGAGAGCAAATAGTGAATCCTTATTAACCTCTTTCGTTCAAATAGCATTATAGGTGTGTCAAAATTGTGTTAGGCTTTCCTGTTATATATGTGTTTTGACAGATGCTTTCCTTTTTAATTGCAAAATAATTTAAAAAGAGATAAGGGTTTGAAAGTCAAAGTTAACCTTATGCCTTACAGTCTTTTAAACTCCATAGTTAAAAAGAAAATCAGGTACAACGCAAAGAGATTCGCATCTTTCCAGTGGCTAGAAAACAATTTTTTAAGGTTTAAATTCAGTTTTTGTATGTTTTAAAATTTTATGAAACGGGGAAATCGGTATAGGTTCTAATTTTTACCATTGGAGATTATTTACCTGACGATTTTCCACCTTTTTGCTGCAGACCAAAATTTGCAGCTGGCAGATAAGTGAACGATAAACTAATTTGGTCAATAGGGTACGTGGTTGGTGATAAATAGTGTTTGGAATTATGGTTATTCCTTTTGCATTCGCGTGTTTGTACAGGTAGTGTTCTTGTCCTTGAGTTAACCTTGCCCCGAGTTTTCCTTTCAACCACCTAACTTTGCGTTTAACAGTTGTGCAATTAAATGCAATCAATAAACAGACATTTCTCCTCATTGCTACCTGGAAGGTTAAAAGGCAGACTAGGATTGATACCTGGTCCTTACTTGCAGAGCCGTGTAATTCCTGTCGGACCACTTTCTAGATTAAAATACAATGCCGAAGCAAAAAACACATTAAAAAGTTATGGAAACAATAAAATCAGGACCACGAGATACAGATGGTACTCTTTTGTGCTTCAAAATCTGCACGAGCAGGCGCAGCGAGTGGCAAACTTCTATTGTATTTGCATTGTGGTCATTCAACTGTTCATTGAATCTCCAATTAGCCCAGCATCTTCAGTACTTCCCCTTCTTTTTGTCATTTTCCTGACTATGTTTAAGGAAGGTTACGAAGACTTTTTGAGGCATCGGGCAGATCAGGAAAACAACCACAAGCCCATTGAAGTTGTTGACGAAACTGGAGCTTTAGTCACCAAGAGGTCCTTCGAACTGGTGGTTGGTGACATTGTGCTTGTTTGCAACGGTGACACTTTCCCCTGCGATATAGTTGTACTGAGCTCAAGTGAGTCTTCTGGTGAATGTTTTGTGACAACAGCAAGCTTGGATGGGGAGACAAACTTGAAACGGCTTTACGCGCCTCCTATTACTCGAGAATTGGATAACCCTTCGGATATTGCCAAGAGTCTCCTTGCAACTATTGTTTGCCAACAGCCGGTACAAGATATCTACGAATTTACTGGGCAAATAATTGTTTCCGAGATCGTAACTGGCACTGAAAGCACTCATTCACTGAATAGTGAATGTTTACTTCTCCGTGGTGCGCGTCTACACAATACAGACTTCATTTATGGATGTGTGGTCTACACCGGTCACGACACAAAAATGTCACTCAACACAAGGAAGAAAAAAGCAAAATTTTCACAAGTTGAGCGTAAACTAAACACCTTTCTTTTGCTTTATCTCCTGGGTCTTCTCCTTATCTGCGTCGCTTACACGGTCCTCAAGAACCTTTTTAAAGTACGTGCATGGTACATCCACTCCCGTAAAATTACTCCCTGGTATGTCACCCAAGACCTGTTAGCCTTCATTGTCCTTTTCAACCACGCCGTTCCAATCTCCCTGTATGTTACGATGGAGTTGCAAAAATTCATTGGATCTATGTTTTTCGGCTGCGATTTGGAACTTTACGATGCCGAAATTGACGAACGTGCCTTAGTGAATACCTCCAACATTCTGGAAGAAATGGGCCAAGTAGGTTTTTATCCCCGTCTAGAACTTTAATACTCATGCATCATTTGTGACGCATAAAGTTGTTTTGATCTACTTTAGGGTTTGATATGATTCGATATCCCACCAAACCTTTGAATCAACTAGTGAACCGATGCTAAAGGTTTAACATTTCCATACTTAATCAACTGATCAGCCCTTATCCGTTGTAGCCGTTAAATTTGCTAGACTTGGAAATAGTCGTTAGTTTCTGAAAGTTCACTTTCGGTTTTGTCCTCCGGATTAAGTTCAAAAGGCTACTGAAAACTGTCAGTTAGTAGTGGCACTTGACGCTATGGTAGAATCGTTCCTATTTCAATACGAACCACTCAAATGATAAGAGCCGCCTTCCTTGTTTTGAAGAATGAAGAAGTGCTATGTTTTATATCTCGGTTATTAAATTTCGCTGCTCACCTGTATTTTTGTTTGGAATGTGCAAGTCAAGTGATGGTTGGAAGTTTACCGTATGGTGGAATCGTAAGTTGTTTTCGATATGACCATCTCACAGTCACCGGTTGTGGTGGTTGTAGTGGTGGCAGCAGTAAAGTACATTACCTGTTGGCTCGGGTTGTATAAGTCCTAAACTTCATACCTCCATGACTTCGCTGGACTTTCGGGTTCACATCCCGTACATAGCTGGTGGCGCGCCTTCATGAGTCCATTCACCCCGAGGCAAGACAAACACCTTGAACCCACAATTTACCACTGTTTCAGTAAATTGGATGCCTCCCCATGAGTAATGTGGTCCAAAAGTAAGAGAGACTTTTGTTACCTAACACCAAAAGTTATTTGTTGGCTCAATGTGAACACACCAATCCCAACGTTCACATGTGTTACATTCTCTGAAAGAACGATGGCTGCCTGAGGTATCCCAATTAAAATGACTTATCCTTACTTCTGGGCCTGTGTTGAATTGAAGCCTCTTCTCCTCAGGAAATAAGTGTTTCCGAATCCGAGAATAATTGTCTGGAAGGACTGACACTGGTGCATTAGCTGTGAGCAATTGAGTGAATAATGGAATGAGCATATTTCCAGGGGGTTGCAGGCAACCTCCACTGAAGCGAACTCCAATTTTGGCCATGTTAGACTGTAAAACCTCCTTCTTTTCTCTTTTCCTACTTAATTGCAACTTTTGGAGTTCATATGATCTGAACATTATCGAAGGTGGAACCGAGGTCAGTCTCCTCTACAACAGAACCAAGTTATCGAGACAGGTTAACAGTCCCACCGGAAACGTGTTTATGGTGGTAGCGAAAAGCTCGGGCAAAGGTATGATTTATTAAAGCCACTTGAGAACTAAATAATTATCTTGATGCCTTCTGTGAATTGGCCCAGTGCCTCGAAGACGCAGAGCTGAGTTGATGGCGCGGAGGAGAGGTGCCCCATTCAGATTAAAGCGCCACTTTGTAAACGTTGATCCCGCTTCAGGGCAGGTACTGATGGGATTTGGCTTTTCGAGAGTGTACGAAGTACGAAGCAAATTCGCTTTCACCTTCACCACGACCCCTTCCAATCATCGGTTGACGTCAACTACTTCACACGTTCATGCAAAGGCTATAAGCAGCCAGCTAGAACTGAATTTCTCAAAATCTCCAAGTCAAGCATTGTAATGTTTTTAGCCCTTCACTTAATCGAGGTTCCAAAACCGGTATGTTATCTTATCCTTGGCTCATTTTCAACTTCAAGATTGAGTACCTCTTCTCCGACAAGACAGGAACCCTGACAAAGAACGAGATGTCCTTCCAGCGGTTGGCTGTTGCAGATGGGACTTTCCTCCTTCGCGACTCCATGCTACATCCCCTCTACGAGGTGCAAGCAACAAGATTGCACGATCTGAGGTCTCCTCGCTTTTCAGGTGCCGGTCTCTCCTCCACAAAAATGCCCATGACTGTCCAAATCCTCCTCATTTTTCTTGCGCTTTGCCACACCGTCAGAGTGGAACAGGACCCAGATGCACGGCATTCCTTGGGTATCACTCTTATGGATTACATTAAAAAGCAAAATCGGTTGAAGAGGAGGATGAAAGGGGGGTTCAAGCTAATGCCATCAAGCAAAGTGGCACCTCCATCAAAAGAATGGACCTACCGACGACGCGAATCCGCCATTCTCTCAGCACAGGAGGCCGTCTGTGCGGTGAACAGAGGATCAGAAATCGATTCTGGTGAGGATTATGAATATCAGGTGAGGATCTGCACTTAGTGCGACTTAATTGATACCATCGGTCCAGAAAATTCTTGTTAGACTTAACGAAATGCACTTCGCATAATACTTTATCCTGCAAATCCATTGGATCAGCACCCTCTGTCTGTACTTTCCGTGTTAAAAGAGTTTGTGCAACGATCTGATTGTGAAGAACTTTGGTAGTAGTATTCGTACCTGCTACTAGAATTGCGGACTGCGCTACTGAATTAGATTGAAGTAGTTTATCGCACTCGCTGGTTGAATTTTATGATCAGTTAACACTTCACCAAATTATTCACGTCTGGACATTTTTGCGATGGATATGCTTTCCTTATTTGGTAAGCGTTTAATTGCACCTATGTATAAGTAAATAGCACTAAATTCCACCCTCGAATTTACAATCATTTCTCACTTTTGAAGAATGTCAAGTAGATTTGATTTAAGCTACTCAATCAACTGCCTCTGCTTGTAGACAGAGGTGTCGGTTTCTAGGTGTGAATACAGTCTTTCTAAAAGGAATCATTTTTGACCACTTTTTTCCTTGCAACGCACGCATATTCCCCAAAATTTACCAACTCACATCAGGTGTTTTGGTTGGTGCGGCGTTCCAATCAAGGTCCCTCTCTCTCAATCGCAACACTTCAAAGCTAGCGCTGCGTAGTCAACTGCGATTCTTTGCTTTTCATTAAGGTCAGTGGCTAAGCCACCAGCTTTTAGTTTTACCCACATATCTGCCAGATGTTAACATCAACAATGTGGTGACCTGGAGTGTAGGCGAGAGGCAATGAATACCGCCAACAAGTTCCTCAAAAATTAAGGTTTGTTAAGCCAGTACAGGTCATTAGGTCTATCCTCCTACAATAGCCGCTTGTAGCTCAAAAGGCAAGCTCCCAAACTATCGTCAACAGCTGCCAAATTATTCTCGGCATTTCTGTCAAGGGCACAACGAAATCATTAATCCTCATTCCACAACTTGAGGGACGATCGAAGAGTGCGGAACTCCATTGTAGCATACAAGATCAAGAATGACCTGTGTGAGGTCTCGAAGTCTGTATGTGTATGTGAACTGCTGTTTCCTTGTGGACCCCGAACATGATCGAGATTTGCACAACTAAAATAAATGTCTTTTCTTTTGGAATTTAGGCTTCCTCACCGGATGAAAAAGCATTTGTGGAAGGCTGTCGCGATTTGGGAATAATCTACCATGGACAGAACAAACGACAATTGCAGGTAGGCATTTCCACACTGCATAAATGCCCCCATGCAGGGGGACTCTGTCCGGTCCCACCCCATGTTCTGTAGTATTATCATGGCCAGACCATTGACAGTGTACTAATCCGTGTTCTCCATTCTCGAAGGTGGTTACGCTCTTTGGAAGAAGGGGACTTCAGTATCGTCTGCTGGATGTCCTCGAGTTTGACGCAAATCGCAAATGCATGTCTATCATCGTGCAGCCCGTGTTGCAAGGTGAGGATGAAACACCCGACTACGTTCCGGAGAAACCGGCCCTCGTGCTCTGCAAGGGTGCCGACTCGAGCATTCTTGCTAAGGTAGGCTGTGCTCTCTGAGAACGGGGGCCAGTACAGCGAAGATCAATCACTCAAGTCCACATATTTGTTGTTCTCATGTGACCTCAACTGCGGGTGACTTTCTATCGCTAATTCTAATGTTGCTCGTGATTTGAAACCCAGCCATCACCCTCAAGCTGTTGGCATTGTTGTTTGCAATTCACCTCATCTGCTTGTTCCATGAGCTGGTGTTTGCATGCGTGACCACGGACAGTATGGAGATTTTGGCCAAGGTGATTGGGGCGTAGAGATGTGCCACTTGCCAACCCGTCTTGGTGAGCTGAGGACAAGACATGTGCGTACGCACCCCCTGGCTAAATGCTGGGGCAGAGGGTGTCCCCATTCTAGCACTTTGTCCCGTTTCGACATCAGAGTGACTAGTAAGACATTTAGGTCTACCCCTACCAGAGATGTTTTGGAATGTCCGAGGCTGCTGGAAGCTCGAAAAAGGGGACGTTTTCTGGGGTTGTGAACACTCCAAACACCTTGCGATGGAGGGATGAACGTCACCGCCTGTGACCTCCTCCGTATTGACCTCCACGTCAAATCAACTTGAAAACAGATTAAGAGGCTGAACAATGAATCTTTGTGTCAGCATCTTGAAGCAGACGAAGATCCGTCAACACGACTGAACCGGTAGTCTGTCGTACTGACCTAGAGCAGGAAGCTGCCTTTTAGAATAGCAAATATTTGTGAATGACTGTGTTTACTGTTGCCAATGACAATGTTCGTTTCTTGTGTGATTTTGTCGCACCACTGATCGCGCACTGATCCTGCATCCACGATGAGCCGTTCCATGCGCTGGTTGAAGCTTCACAGGGCTAAATGATTGCCGAGGCACTGCACTTAGGGAAATGGAGTCACTGCAACTGGACTCGACACTGACAGACAGCTGCAAAGTCATACCGTGACTGCTCCCTCAATTCATTGTGCCAAGCTCCAAGTCTTCGGGACGAGTAGATAGCCGTGGATTTTACTCTACGCTCTTGTTCACTGGAAACTTGGACACTAGAGGCTGTTTTGCTCCGATACGCACTACCAATGCTCTCTACCATCTTGATTACTGGAATGTGGATTGACTGGTCCACAACATAGGACTGAGACTTGTCATTTACTATTGTAAGTAGTACTGTCGTGGGCGAACGTTTTCGACAACCACAAAGACAAAAGTCTTCACTTGACTTGAACGTCAGTCGTAGCAACCGAGTTGCTGCCAGAAGCCTGCGAGCATCTCCGTTTCGAGTCGGTAGTCGTTTAACATCTTAGCTTGCTCGAGTGGCCGTTATGGGCTGCCTACAGCATGGAGGGTCATCAGGTCTTCAAATGCCACAATTCTAATGAGGGAGTAATGTGACCCCTACGAGGTCACTGAGTAAGTGGGGTGCTATATGCCATGATATATTTGGGCATACAACTGCCAGTGGGGAAGTACTATGGCTAAGTAACCCAAAATTTTGCACATGTCTCTGTGCGGCCTGCTGCAACGACCTGTTGCAACCTAAAGAGTCTTTCTTTGAAAGTGTGGGTAGATTTGTGTCAATGTGCCGGCGTGGTACTCGTCATTGTGCTCTGACTGACTGACTGACTGACAATTCTAAAGTGTGCAGGTAATCCTCTCAAGGGAGAGCTAGTGCTGACGATAGAGTGGAAAGAAGTTTCCATGCTATTGTTGCATGACAACACGGTGCAAGACTCCATACCACCGTGGAACTTGCCCTCGAGGAGATTCTTACCGTAGGATGCGAATGAGGGGGATATTGGCTTAGTAAAAGTGGGGCTCCCAACATTGCGTCTCGTCGAGAAGACGAATAACTGCAAGAAATTTTCCCTAGTCATTTAATTGTGCTATAATCTTATCCTATGTGATGCTTCGTGCACGTGAATTGTACTGCTTTGAAAATAGAGTGCCCCTCTGGAAAGTCTTCCAACTCTGCCCGAACCGATGGGAGATCCCCTTCTAGATGGTCTCTTCGCTCCCTCCGAGGAGGTTCAAACACGAGCAGCTCTTTCAAACAATCGGGTGTGTGAAAATGTCACCAAATTAGCGTCCTTTGGTCTGCGAACCCTGGTGGAAGGTGTACGTCTCTTGAGACCAGCTGAGTGGCTGCCTTTACAGCAGGAGTTAAACAAAGCGCGGACAAATATGGAAGACAAGGCGGGGGCACTGGCAAAGGCCTACCAAAGCATTGAAAGGGATCTCATGCTAATTGGATGCACTGGCGTTGAAGACAAGCTGCAAGATGATGTGCCTGAGACACTGATCGCCCTCCGTCAGGCCGGAATTCAGGTAAGTATAACATCTGTGGTTTTAAAAACTAACGTACTGGGAGTAGAGAAGAATCAGAGTAGCATTTGAAGACAGATGGTACTAGAAGTAGGTTTTCTCTCGGTAATGCGGAGCAATCTGTGTGTCACGATCGTGTTGGAGAGAACAGGCGCTCCTAAATTGAAGGTTAACGAGTGAATGTAAGAGATGGAGCAGTCTAGCCTCCCATTTGGGATAGCCTTGGACTCAGTATCCTTCATGACGAACTCGGGAGCATCCACGTGGGGGGAGACGAAATGGCTAATGCTTCTTTTCTTTGACAGATTTGGGTTCTCACTGGCGACAAGGAGGAGACAGCGGTGAACGTGAGCTTCCTCTCCGGTCACTTCGGCCCCGGTCTCTCAACCATCCACGTGACCAAACAGAATAACCTTCTAGAGTGTTCTTTAACCCTGCAAACTCAACTTAACGCTGTTGAAAGGACCTGCCAAGAGAGCATTCGATTGCACTACGGTCTCGTGGTCGATGGCCAGTCGCTAAACTTTGCGCTCCAGGTAATACCTCCTGTCGTTGTGCCATAAACTGGAGGATAAATGGAATGAGCTTAGCCACTAACATCCATTGGTCTGTTTCAGGCAACACAGAAGCACAAATTTCTTCTCCTCTGTCGCGAGGCGGATGCCGTGCTCTGTTGTCGCCTAACTCCGATACAAAAGGCCGAGGTGGTGCGTGTGGTGAAGCACTCGCGTTCTCCACCACCCATAACCTGTGCCATTGGCGATGGAGCCAACGATGTCTCAATGATTCTTGAAGCACATGTTGGAATCGGTCTTTTCGGCAAGGAGGGTCGTCAGGCAGCTCGAGCTTCGGATTACGTGATAGGAAAGTTTCGATTTCTCAAACGGACCCTCCTCTTCCACGGTTGCAATTTCTACTGGCGTACAGCCAATGTGGTGCTCTACTTCTTCTACAAAAACCTTGTCTTCGTATTGGCACAGGCGTATTTTGGCGTCTTTTCCAAATTCGCCACTCAAACTGCCTTCAGTAGCCTCTATTTACTGTCCTACAATGTGATAATGACTTCATCACCCATCATCATTTATGGCATATTAGAAATGCCATTCCCAGAGGAGGTTCTGCAAGACACACCGCTTATCTACACAACCCTATCTAGAAACCGTCTCTTGTCATGGAAGAACTTCTTCGTGTGGAACGCATTTGGGTTGTGGCACTCCATCGTTCTCTTTTTCGGTTGCTACATTCTCGCAACCGAGGGCGTTTCCAGGCCAGGCGGTGCAATAGAAAGCCTCCATGGTTTCGGGAGCATGCTCTTCAGTTTCATATTTCTCGTGGTTACCATAAAATTGATTCTCATCACCTATTCCCTCAATGCTCTGCTGCTTTTGACCATAGGTGGTACAGTGCTTGTCACCTACACAGTCCTTGTGTTGTTCAGTCATGTTGCTATTCCAGTGAGCGGTGGCAGAGACCTACTGGGCGTCTGGGAGAATCTCCTTCGTGGACCTAGTGCAATGATCAACCTGTTTGGACATGCGTTACTGCTGGTATTGGCACTAGCACCGGATATTGTCTACAGGGTGTACGTGGACAGTTGTAGAGTGTTGCCGGCATCGAGAGGCGGCTCATTGCGAGGCAGTGAGACAGGGGCCAAAAGTGGAAGTGCTGGGAGACCACTACTGCCTCACTCCATCTCCAAGAGGGAGACGCGTCCGACTTCACTTGCATACTCTTCTACTTCATGTTAATCACTGATATTTACTCTCTCTTTTTCCACTTTTAAGCCTCTCTTTTGTGAAATACTTGTCCACCTTCTAAGCACCATGCTGCAGAAGGCTCTAATTCACTTTAAAATGTCCGAGGTTAAATTGAGGCAGCCATACAATCCTGACCAGAAGACCTTGGGTGGGTCGAGCCTTAATTTCCAAGCTTCACTATTTATTGAATCCGTGAATGTGTACTTTGAAAGAGAAGGGTGGCATATACAATCAGTCCAAGTTTGCGATCACAGTGGAAGGCGAAGTCGAGGCCTCGGGGGATGGGGAAAGGCATAGCAAGCGGGTGTACTTCGACCACGCCTTAGACGATAGTCCCCACTGCTTTCTTCACTATAATAAACAAAGAATTTCTAAGACTCACATCTTCGGATGTTTGGGTTTTGTAGATTTTTCATTGCTTTAAGCCATGAGGTCGAGTATTTTGGAGGTGTATATACTACCGACTATTGCTACTCAAATGGAAGGTGACGACCCTATTGAAGACACGGTGCCAGAGTTTCTTAAATTCAAGCCTACCAGTGGCTAAAATAGCAGACTTCTAAGTGTGTCTTTTAAAAATCGTACGACTCCACATGAAACAAACTGTCAACATTGATGGAAGAGTTTGAACTTAGGCGGATTGGGCGCAGATCTAAAACAATACATTTACAGGGTCATTGAGAGTATGTGTGATTGCCTCGGAGATCCGAGGCAATGGATTTATGACCCCGTTTAACTCAGCTTTCTTTTAGCGAGGTGGACACCTCTTAGGTATTCTATGCCTGTTGAAAACAAAAGTGTCTTTCTACTTAATCTAACCTGCAAACACTCATTTATATGTGTCGGTGGGCAATTTTCGTAATGCTTGGATAGTTTTTAGCTCTGTGTGTGGTTACACAGGCATCTAGGTCTCCGGGGATGGTACCGCCTCTTCCGGTGGCATGATCGCCGGACCACATCGAAGGCTTCTCGGCTCTCATCTCTTCCATCATCACTACTATGACTTCTTTCGACTTCACGAAAAGGCTCGGAGCGGAGTGCTACACTTCTAACATTGACACTCACTTCTTTTGCCTGCTCTTTCGTCCTGCCCCAACAGTGGTTCATTTTGCGGTTTTTTCTCTTGTCGCTGATGTTGGTGTTGTTGCTGCTGCTGTTGTTCTTCCTCTGTCAAAGCATTTGAGATAAAATTGGTCATTTTGAAGGCATCACTGTCAAATGCTATCAAGTGTCGAAAATGTTAAATCACTGTAGAATTAACGTATACGTTCGACAGCAACTCTGATGGGCTCTGCTCCATCCTTGGATGTAGCAAGTGAAACATCAGTACTTGTAAGTACCTGCAGAATCATCCAAATCAAGGGTTGGCATAGGCTCCCTGGTAAATAATTCCCTTACTCTCTGCCATAGCGTCTTCGAGGATCTGCTTTGGCTAGAAGAAATGTCTGGTAATGAATGGTGAGACGTGATTTTGGTGTTGCTACTGCAAGAGAAGGAAAAAGGAAAACTGCTACAAAGTTTGTATTGAGAATGGCTTAGAAAGTCATCAGTTCTGTGGTTCTTTGTTTTATTTTTCTCCTCCCACCTCATATCAAGGTTCTTTGTAAATGTCTAGAAACTTCTTCGATAACAAAGCAATTACCTATTTCCAAATGACAAAATTGGAACCCACCTTCCGTCTACTGCCTGCGAAAGATCTCCTTCACTCTTTGAAGCCTGCAAATCTGTCAAACGAACAAAGCCAATGCAATGACTGCACTGAAGTGGCAACAAACGTCATTTAGGGTGTCACTCCCTAAAATACACTGCACCTCCGGTAGGCACAAATTAACAAGATCATTTCATTTGATTCTTTCCAATGAGCCCCCGCACAAAGTTCATTGCATGCAGAAAACCTGCTGTTTTATTCACTTCGACACTTTTATCCCCTTTTTAATATTGAGTAGACCTAACTAACAAACTTACTTGGTCTACGATGTCTTCTAAACCAACTCATTTGATACCAGCGAGATTTCCTACTTGTGCGTTCTTCCGCCTTTTTATAACGAGTCGATTGTGGCTGATGGTCTTTTCTGAAAAAGAGTACATTCTTAGCCTAAAACAACTGCTTTTTAACATCGCGCCGATTATCAAGTTCAAGAGGGGTGTATGCGACAGTTTGAAGCACCTTCACCAGCAGTTATCCTTAACACGTCAGAATTTATCATCGCTACCATTCCGTAATGATGAAGGTTGCCTTTCATTACAATGTGTATCAATTTCTGGCTGACATTTCAAGGTGGTCATTCGTACACAACAGAAAGGCGGACGTCTTGAGAAGTGATACGTTGATAAGCTGTCACTGATCAGTTCGACTGAATCAAATGGCTCGTCAATGCTAAACAAATGCAATCAACCACAAATTTAGGGAATTCTACATCCCTCTGCCTGTTTTAGACTCAACCCGTCTAGATGAGTGCAAATACTTAGCAAAAAGTGTTAAAAACCCCACGTCACATATTTGTGACGACAGTTCATTTACGAAAACAGGCACATCACGCATGCCTGATGCTGATAAGCAATGTGTAGGCACTGCATTTGAGTCGAAAAATTCACTCCAGGAAATAAGGCATTCCTTACTGAAATCAGGTTACATCAGTCAGAAGACTCAACTTATTCATGAACACTTTAACTAATGATCTCCAAATTCTACGCAAAGAACTCTTCCCCAACACACTTCGAAGACTATTCCACTCCATTGTTTACTGCAGTTTGATTCGCTACTGGTTATTGATAACGTCATCTACCTCATGTTGTGCTGCGCATTCTTTTCCCTGTCTTCTTCCTCAGCAGCTGCTAGACCCGAATTGGACAATTGAGAGGACGCCACTAAAACATGTGCCAAAGAAATCTCAAAATAAGGCATTGTGATTTAAACATAACACAGATTGATGTGCAAGCATCAAAACGGCTTGCTTCTTTTTGTCGAGAATATGCCGTAGAGAAATTGGATTCTTGTAGTGTGGCAAATGTGCTGCTGGGTTTGGAAATAATGCAAAAGCGATGCAGACATACCACCTCCTGGCTTAGCCTTTTGTTGTCTTGGTGAAGCAGTCGGTTTGGATTGAGCATCTGATTGCGACTTTGCCGCATTGTCCCTAAAACCCAACATATTAAATAAGCTTTTCCCATTTTTTCTCACCACCGAACACAATAACTCCAAAATTACTGGCCAGAATAACTTGCCTATGTCTGTTTTTATGGCTCATGCATTTAGAATGTAGGAAGACAAACTAGCACATTTTGCCATCTAAATCCACACATCTGTGCTTCACAAGTAGCTATGTCTAGAGTGTTAGACGCTTTTTAGAAATGTGCACCTAACAGTGAAGTAATGAAGGAATGTGTTTGACTGGCGCATCTTCATCTTGCACAAAAAGCTCACTCGCACTGCTGCGCAGGCATGGCGTATTCACCGAAGGCCTTGTTTGCCGCAGTACTCTCCGATTCGGGACTTGCCTTTCCTCCCATCGACGTGTTCGAGGCGTTCGTGTTGGCGAATATGGTGGATGAGTTAGAGTGGGGGGGTGATCTCCTGTTTTTCCTCGAAGTGTGTTTTACAGGATCATTGAGAGGATGTGCGGATGTGCACTGAGCAGTTGGCACTCATTAATTCGACCAAAATTTTAAACGCATTTAAGTATCAAAAATTGTTGACAACCTCATGCCTCGGTTTCTTGTGTCCCTCCGCTTGTGTGAAGCTCAATGCTTCTGCTTGGGTGCAACTCATTATCATAATGTGGTAAACAAATCACGTCACATATTTGTGCCATTAGTGGATAGCACGTATATCTGATGCTGGTGGGGAACATGTAACAGTCATTGTTAAGTCGGCAACTGCGCCTCAACACATATCTAGGTCCTTGCTCATAGCATGCAAGATCAGCCAGAAGATCCAGCACTCCTCCCAACCTACTAATAACTGATCGCCAAACCTCCTACGAAGGGCTCTTTTCCCAATGCACTTTCAACGCTATTCTGCTCAAGTTGTACTGCAGTTTACATTACCACTATTTACGAGTAACGTCAACTACCCGGTATTTTGCTGTGCCTTCTTCTTCTTCTTCTCATCCTCCTCCTCAGCATCTGCTCCACCCGCAGTCGGCAATTCAGATGGACCCACGGAGACGAGTACTTCTGAATCTATTAAAATGGAGTTTTGCGGTGATAACCCTAAGAAAGCTGTGCAGGTATAACTAAACGGCAGGCTTTCGCTTGTGGATAAAATGTGGTGGAAAGTTGTGAGACGATAGTGAAGCCTTCTCATTGTATCCTAACTTCATCTCTCAAAGCTTTCACTGAACCCCTGTCAGACAGCACGTTGCAATTTTACAATGTGGCATAGGTACTGCGGAGGTAAGAAATAACGCAACAATAATGTGGACATACCTCTTCCATTCTGGGCATTGTTTGGTCCTTGTGGTACAGAGGGTTGGCTATCCATACTAGTGGTAAAAAAGCAGACAGAAATTTTAAGCCCTGAACATTTAAATAGGTTGCTTTCTTGTTCTTCTTTGACGTTCAGTGTTAAATTAGTCGTCAATAAAGTCGATTTGCAAAAAAAGCGCAGTGACCACGTATCGCATTGCGGAACGTACGTTCTAGCACAAGTGGAGGCCGGAAGATCTGCAAGTGAATAGGCACTCATTTAATCACGCCACATTTACATCTTCCAGAGCTAACCACATTCAGCATAAAGTGTGATGGTGACAAGCCTAAGAGGATTTATTCCCTTCTGGAACAACACAGGCACGTTGTTCACTTCAGCTGGCTAAAAGATGCCATCATTATGTAACGCCAAATCGGAGCCTTGCTTAATACTTCCATGTATTGTTGTTTCAAGACAGTGGTAGAAAATAAACTTCAAGCACTTATCGAAGAGGCTTTCCATGCCAGCGCGGAGGCTTAATTCCACACATTCACGGATTGATGCGATTGCAGCAGCCAATTGCAGGTGTGCATTATAGCTGGTGGCAGAAGCACCTGTCATGGACCGCATCAGCCACCTTAAGGCAAGATGGCATATTTGGTGGAGAAGCAGCCATTGTGTAAGCTAAGTCGAGTATTTCATGGACGCTCACAGGGTATCTTAGGCAGAGTAAGGTGTAAACCTCCATCTGCCTGCCTGTCTGTCAGTGACAACCTCCGTCGTGGCAACTAAACTCGCATTCCGATGCTACTGGCCTATTGGCATTGTGGTAATCATCTGCCGCACAAATCACCTACGTCTGGGTCCCTAAATCAAACAGTGGGACATCATACGGCAAAAATCACACAAGAAACAAATCCTTCTATCGTCACTGTGGGCCCAGGAGCTCACAAGAATTTTCAATCCCGAAATGCAACTGAACGCTGGGTGTCTCAGGACGATTTAGCTGTATCGACAAATTTTGCTGTGCTGGCGATGCGCAGACATCGGCAAGAGGCTGAGATGAGCGTACACACGTTGTCCCATCGGTTTGGAGAAAAATAAATGCCCTTTGTGCTCACTACGATTGGGCGTTTCGCTTAATATTGATAAAGTTTGGGTTTCATTTGAAAGCACTTTTAAATACGCATGACAGAAAATTCAGGACACTTTTTGCCATCCCTTCCCTACTCCCTTGAAGGTCATATTTGACAAGGTAGTGCAGATAAATCAACCACCATGTGTATTTAAACTACACTAAAGTCTTCAACTTAGACACTCCAAGTGACAAAATATTCCCGCCTCCTGGGAATGTCTTTCCTTACTTTGGTACTCACATGCATCTGATTGCCGCTTTGCCACGTTGTCCCTAAAATTCAAAATATTCGAGAGAGTTCTTCCCACTTTGTCTTACCACCCAACACAACAACTCCAAAATGACAAGCCCGAATGACTTACGTACCTCTGTTTGCATGGCTCATGCATTTAGAATGTGGGAAGACAAACCAGAACATTTTGCCATCTAAATCCACACATCTGTGCTTCACAAGTAGCTCTGTCTACTGTGCTGAACGAAAGCTCAAGTAACGGTATTTGGAAATGTGCACCTGACAGTGAAGCACTGAAGGAATGTGTTTGACTGGCACATTTTCATCTTGCACGACAAACTCACTCGCACTGCTCCACAGGCATGACGTATTCACCGAAGGCCTTGTTTACCGCAGTACTTTCCGGTTTGGGACTTGCCTTTCCTCCCATCGACGTGTCCGAGCAGTTCGTGTCGGCCAATATGGTGGATGAGTTCAAGTGTGGAGATGATCTCCTGTTTTTGCTTGAAGTGCGTTTACCATTACTTTCCCTTTTATGGCTATGAGATTTTAAATGTAATTTCGTGGATTTTGAAGAGGTGTTGGTTTTATTTTCTTTATCTGCAGATTCCGCACCCAATCTGGGGGACGGCGATTCCTTTTTACTTTCTTCTGTCGTCTGTTTATTATTTTGACAGTTAGGTGCCGCGACTGATACATTGGGCCCTATAAAACCATCTTCTGAGGAATTGGGAAGATTAGAGCATTCGCACTGAGATTGCTCTTGCCTTTCCTTCTTCTCTGAAGAGATATCCTTTCTCTGCTCCTTGTGTAGGTGGGCTCCATTCTTCACCGTTTCCGTTGGTGTTGAAGGCTTTTGACTTGGAAAAGCCTTATCATTGTTTGGACCTTCAGTTGAAGTATCTGGTGGTTGCTTTTTGAACTCTGTGACTTGATATTCTAAGAAGATGAATAGAAGTTGCCAACAGTCAAATCTATTTTTTGCTGTACCTTAGACCTTACGGCAATTAATGATAAAAACTCACCTTTGTACAGTAACAAGCCTGTGCTTCTTCTTTCGTCTGACACGTTGCCGTGTTCTTGCCTATTACTTTAAAATAATTAAAGATATTTAGTGCACTTTTGTTCCTACAGAAAGGATATGATCTGTGCTATAAATGCAATACCAATTCCTCTAAGCCTTAGTTTTAAATGAAGACTCCACTTCCCTAACGGCATCAAAAGAAAAATAGTTTAGTATTTTGCTCCCTTTTGTCCCAATTTCTTATTGAATCCGTTAAAATCTTATTTTTTGGAATTCTCTGCATACTTATTGAAAGAAATACTCTTGTGTGTTATTATGGGTTATAATTAAGTGAACTGCAAAACAGATTTCATTTCTTATTTAGCCTTGATATGAAGTTACTCTAGTAGTTGGAGTCAATCATTTGCCAATTGCGGCATCTTCGAGGTTGTGTGGACCGTTTCGAATCCGGTCTCACGCCACCTCATATTTGCTCGACTTGTGGGAGGTGGTATATTATAGACTCTTTGGCAATGTTTAGGGGAAAATGTGACTCATCAGAGTTGGAGTGACATTACATGCTTTTGCCTCGTTGGTGAGTATTCCTTCAGAGTCGGCAAGAGGTCCCTTAATATGTAGCGATCTTCAGCATTGGAATGAAGAGGCAACTGTGATGGATACGGATGGGTATGTAGCTCAGCAAGAGAAAGTTAGGCAGATGCTAAATCATCTGCACATCGTCATTTCCATTTCTGCTTTGTGTGGTGAAAGCATGGGTTTATGCTGCGAAATGAGTGATTTGTGGAAACCACTCCGTTTATGATTTCATGCTGTCTGATTTGACAACTGCCTGTCATCAAGACCACTTGGGGGGAAGTATTTGTAGACTTCACGGAGGGGAACTTTGGTATAGTGATATGATGGAGGGAATGAGCTTGTTTTCAATCTTTAACAAGGGAGCTAAGCGTGGCGCCGATTAAAGATGGGTAAATACTAACTTTCTGGGGTTATTCGTATCATTGACCCTTTTGGTTAATGTTCGGAACGTGAAGGTGAGTGAGTTAAGGAGTCTGTATAAAGGTGCTTCAGGCTTGTGTGGGTGTGAATGAAGCCCAGAGGCACGGAACGATGTGATTGTCTCGTCTCTGCGTCTACAATGCTCAGGTTGTTTTGCTAAAAGGACAAATATTTTGGTGTAAATTGACCTTGGGGAGTTAAATGCTTTGGGAATAAGTGCGATATCTTTGTGTCCTCAATCTTTGTCTTTATGAGAGCAAACTTTTCTTGGTGCAGTAGTTGGTACTAGTACGAAGAAAAGGGGGAGATAGAAAGCACTAAGATCTGTGAAAAATTGTTGTACGCCATGGAGACAAATAAACACTGTGAATTGGAAGCGCATGGAATGTAGCAGCAATTATTTGTTCAACTCTGCGTTTTGATTATGCGGGTACTCAAGGTTCGGCTATTGTAACCACTCCAGACGGCATGGTTGACGGGTCATATTACTATCCCACAGTCCTTCTGTACGTCGGCAATACACGTTCTGCCCTTCTGTTATGACTTCTTCCGTCTTTATGATGTCACGAGTTTAATGAACCCTAGCAACTTTTGGTACAGGAAAGTAGTTCTGTACACATGTCTACGAAAGTAAACCATTGGAAGTAAACATCGATGCTTTAATTGCATAAGTCCTCTAATAAAACAATTTCTTGAATGAAAGAAAAGCGAGTGATGGAAGATTTATGACACAGTGGGCTTGGAAGACACGGTTTGTGAAATACGCCCTCCTACGTAATTTTGAGGATTAGGCGTATGGTGCACGTGCATGCCTCAGAGTCCCGCAACTCCATTGACCACTTATGAATAAGAGGAGGATGCATTTGGCTACTCGTGTGGCCAGCGTTTACATTCACGGTTCCACCTAAGGTAAGGTATGGGAATTGTTACTTTCATCTAAATGACTACCACCGCAGGTACCCACAGCAATTAGATTACCATATTTGGTAGGGTGTTGAGAGGGCAATCAGGGCTACCTTACCCCCCGATACTAGGGCCTCTTTCAATTTCTAAGTCGCTAAGCTGTGTCGTATTCCAGTCCGTCGTCATAGATGCGTGATAGCTGGGTTTGCATCAAATCATGCCGCAAACAGGCTAAGTAAAGTTTGCCTAGCAGCATAGATGTCGGCGCCGTTTGGCTGTTGGGTAGCAGTTGAATTGGTTACCAGTGTTACTTAAGAATGATGTCATATTAGAACAAGATGATATTAGAGAGGTAACGGTCGATCCATCTCGAAAACTGCGGCAGTGAACGTGTCACTAATACTGTATCCATCAGCAGGGAAGAGCACTTGAAATGCCCTCATGGCCGTATTGAGTAGGCATGTGAGCACGGTGGTTGAGGCTTATGGTAGCTTTTTCGAATAATTTGCCTAGGTATAGTAGCTGAGTATAGCGCACAATGGATTTTTGTCAAACAATACCCTTTTCTTCCGTCCCCGTAAGCGTTGCCTAATGATATGCTTCTCATGTAATGCGAAGGTCGGTCTGGAGTAATTGGTTTGGGTTTGTCTGAAGCAGGCGCAATTTCGCTCTTTGAAGTCCTTTCCTCAGGTCCTTTGGTTATCTCCTTCGGTCTCGTTGGTGGTACTCCTAAATAAAATAAGAAAATTAAGGGGTAGCTAAAGTTATGGCTTGAAAACATGCATTAAAACACCTGACAAAGCTAGGTCTCTTTTGGGCTGCCATCTTCGGCACAAAGCAGAGATGTTAGTAAAGCTACTTATCTTTCCACTTTGTTCTCTAAACAGGTGATCCTTATGTCCTCCAACAACTGTTTCATCATGTCACATTTTTATCCTTTGTTATCAAAAAGATCACCTGAGTTCTCTTTAATTGCCGCCATTGTCAGCAAAATTGGCTCTGAGCACATGAGCCCGTATTCCGATCTCACCACTCATATGGATGCGTGAGGTTCGACTGCCAACACGACTGCAGTCTTCCACAGATCAAAAGGATTTACTTGGCAGTCCACTTGTATGCTTGCAAGAGCTTTTGACAATCGCCCTCGACTTATGCTTTTTGAGAGGTGGCACTCACCTCGGTGACCTTTGGAACTGCAAACCCTCGAACACCTCAGTAGGATGGATTGCTCCATTTTATTCATCATTAGTCCAAGCAAGATAACCTATTCTTTTGTAAAATTGCATACTTTTCATTAAAATTCCAAAATTATGCTTATTATTAAATTATTTTCTTGTGCAGCTGTGTGAGGCAAGTAAAAGCAATTTGCAGTAATTTGGATAGGTCGATAATCACATTTCTGTTTGAACAAACCCTAACGCGTCCACTAGTTACTTCTTTCAGGCGGAAAATTGTTAGCTCTTCTTACCATTTTGATTGCCTGGTGCCTTGTTTTCTGCCTCAGGGGCTGGATTTTTCCGGGATTTTAAAATAACGCCTCCCGTCGGTATCACGGGCAGAGCGATGCCATTCGTGGGTCTGACGGGAAGGACGGTTCGTTTATCTTCTTCCCCTTCTTCCCGGCAGCTACAAAAGTACTTATTTCGTGACAAATGCTATTAAAATTCGAGTATCAACCACGGACAATTAATACCTAGTTGGTTGGAATCTAGGCAGTTCCATAAATGAAGCTTCCTTTGTCGTGAGGACCAACTGGAGATCTAGCCGTGGAATCGGATAAAGTATGCATTACACAATTTATGCTAGTTTGAGTTCTGACAATGAATCAGTAGGTCGAAAAGTACATTTGATAGCTCATTTATGGTCATTTATGGCTTAAACGTGACGATATTTGTCAATCAAATTTTTCCTTATTAATGAAAAGCCAAATATCCCTTCTAAAGAGCCAATCAACTTCCCTCTGCATGTTGATTGGGTCCTTGAAGCCGCCCTCTCAATGGTGATTGGACGGGTTCAAGAATGTAAGTGAACTTCCTACGTTACCATTGGTCCTCATTTAGGCCTTAGGTTAAATAGCCTTGATTATCCTATCTACTTAAAACAGCAGGCTGAAACGTAGTTAGACTAAATCATTTTACCTCAAATGGTCTTCTGAGTAGGAAATCTCTTGAGGTCGGGTGAATAAATCCTCACTAGTCACTGGCTGATGGCTAACTTTCTCACCCTCAAGCAGGATTACAGTGTGTGCTTGGTGAGTTCTTCGTCTCTTCGGTCGATCAAAGCCCAATTGCGGCAAAGTGGAGTCCTTTTGGGAGAAAGTGAGCATAAAAATAGGGTTTGAAAGTGATTTTTGTCTGCATTTTACTTGGGACACTAAAATAACTCGTTACGACTGATATCGTTTCAGTCCTCGAGAATGATTTTGTAGGAGTCTTTTTATTAAAAAAAAAATAAAGAGCCTAGTTGCATCAATGCAGATGATAATCACTTCGGAGATATGTAATATGAGATGAGCCGGTAACTACCCAGCAGTCATGCCTTTTGAAGTAGCGGCCCCATTATGCTCAGATAAGGAGTGGTGAATTTGTGAATTAGAATAGCCTTTGGTTGTCGTCGTTATACGTGGAGTAGAGAGACGTAGTAATATCTGCTTATATTGGGTGCTTAATTTCTTGTGGACTTTCCAGGCTTCGCCCTTCCACTCCACATGGGTGTGGGGATCTTCCGGTCTCGTCTAAATGTCTTCCAACGGCGTGTTTTCTAACGACTCTGGGAAATCCTTGAGGCGGTACAGAGCTATGTGCGTGTTACCCACACGTTTTAAAATGTTTTAAAATGTTTTGAAATGAGTTCTGGAGGAAATTCTTACACTGCCTGGGGGAGGAGGAGCGAACACACCATTCACTTGGTCAATACGCAAAGAGAAGGCTACAGGAGGGACTACCCCATTCTCCAAACTGTTTTGCCACTAAGCTGTCACGTGAACAAATCCAAAAGAGACAGCTAAAAAGCATTTGAGATAGGGGTCTTTTGTTGGTTCCTATAAAAGTGAGGTTAGGTATCAGTTGAATGTTAACGCTGGTGTATTTATTGGTATAAGCTGACAAATTGTGAGGGCGATTTATCCGACGAATAAGCTACTCAAAGAGGCTGTCTGCAGTTGGTTAATCTTATTATAGAAAGCACACGAAGTTATTAGGGTGCCTCATGCAATCATAGGGTGGGACCACAGACCTCCTCAAGTGCTGCGAATAGGGGCTGGTACATAAAATTTGCTCGTTGCGAAGGAATGTTTGATCACCTAGTAGTTACTCAGCCCTCCTGTACGGTTATACAGAATTAACACTTTGTATTCTAGTGTCCCATAAGGTCCTGGGAGACCTTTCGCAGCATAAAGAAAACACGAATTTGAAGCAAAAAAAGCTTTTACATATTTATGAATAAACTCACACCACCCTCCTTCAAAACCGGGGAATCGTGAAGGCCAGCAGTAGTCATATTACCGTGGCTAAAAATGCATAAAAGGGGAACCAACTTTACCTCAAAGGCATAACACAATGAGTGGCAAGGATGGGACAGAGGGGTCAGATCGAGGTAAATGGGTTTACTGGGCGTCAACACAACCCGTACCTATCCCTCACATTTTTGCTTAGAATGCTCTCTTAAACGATTCATCGCTGCACTGCGGAAAAAAAAAACATTTTTTTATATGCCTTGGTCTGTCGGAGAAGTGTATGTCATTGGCATCTGCAATGTTGAAAAGCGCGACGATGCCCACAATCACCTTCTCACCAGAACACGAAATGGATTGTTAATTTGTGCCAAGGGCGATGTTCGCTTACAAGCCGCAACTAACATGGTCGGTCAGAATCACCGCCAAAGGTACGACTTCAAGCTCTTAGCCAAGCCGGATGGCAGCCTGAACCGCCTACTAGAAGGAAGTCATTTCAAATCTCAACTTGTGACTGATACTGTGTGTGTGGAAATTTGTTAAAACGAGAGAATGTGTGCACTGGAAATAGTAAGAGCTACTTAAACAGAACATAATAGCAAGGTTTAGCACTCCCGTTTGCATTGTAGTATGGGACTGTGGCGAGCCTTTCGAATGCCATTCGTTCATTAATATCCTCTGACTGTGGGCTTGCGGGGCATACAATTCTTGGTTGTATCACTATGCCTTAATTAAGGGTTTTTACTCTCTGCCGTCTATCCAAATGTGTTTTTTAACCGTTAAAACACATTATAGTTCCCCCAACTCTCGCACTGAAAACGATGAAAACAAGACTTAGCGCATGTTACTTCTTCACTTGTACTTTGTATTTTGGAAGGCTACCACAACAAAAATGTTTTCTTGTATATTGAAATAGGGCTTGGAGAGGACAGAATCACAGGGTTAATCAGTACTTCTTTAATCAGCACACCTCCGAGTGGAGTAAATTATAAATAATCACGGTGGTCTTAAGCTATGTGCTGTACTGTGTAGTTGGCTCGCAATTTTGCGCATATTAGCATCCTACATCTCGCTTTTTTACCAATCACCCCTCTAGCCTTAATTCAGCCTTAGGATGTGTACTTGGAAACAGAAATACGCTTGTAGTAGTATCGCCTTTTCACAGTGACAAAGTTCATTTTAGTTCATTCGGCTGATGGGCGAAAACAAACCATGTACGCATTCATCTTTCAAACTACGCTTGAAAAAGAAATTGGTGTGAACTACCAATTTTTCCAATTCATGTGAAAAGTGAGGTAGATTGTGTGCGCATGGAGAGAAAGCAGACTTGCACCTTAGTTCCCTAACCAACACCCCAATTCCATAAGTGGCTATGGGATGCTGACTCATTCACGAGGTCATAATATCCGATTAGTCTCGGAGTTACGCAGTATTGAGATACTCTCTGGTGTTGCGGTGAAGGACCATTGGAAAGAGTTTGACAAGACACAAGTGCTTGAGGCCTCCGCCAGTAGCCACTTCGTGGTCTCCTATCATAAGTTCTATTGCATCATCAAGAGGCCACTCTGTGCAATTTCTTTTTGCAAAAATAGGCCCCCACTGTGGTAACTGCACTTTGATGGCACAACCCGCCTTCAAATTGCACCAAGTACACTGAGAGTGATTCAAAGAAATCGACCCAAGGTCACATGTCTCCTTGCATCTGTTAGACTGAGGCAAGTGTTATGTATAGGGAGCAAAAATCGCATCATTTTTGCTACTTAGATCAAATGAAAAAAAGCATTAAGAAATTCGATTGCTTTAACTGTATCAAAATCGAGTTTTGAAAAGGGAAGAAAATCGCCAACTGTGTAATTTAAATTGCTTAATTCATTGCTTCTTAAATCATTATATTAGGAAGGGAAAGTTCAAACGCATTGGAAAGCTGGATGAAATGCTCAGCATGATGAATGTGAAAAGGTAGTGTATTGGCCTACTTGTTTGTAACCGAACTTTTTGCACCTAAGTAAACTATTAAATCGGGTCCGTTTCAGACTCGTAAGTCTTGCCAAATTGTAGGGGTATTTTGATCCATCTTAAAAATGATGCAAGTTTATGCATTCAAACAGTTGTTTGTGAATTTGTTTCACTTGTGCCTCTCACAGACTTCCAATCACTTGGTCCGCCTACATGAGCTGACGCTAGAAACACGACTGCACAAAAGTATTTTACACCATAAATGGATAAAAAAACAGAACAAAGTCTCACCACGTAAGAATCGTTTTGTCTGGGGAGATGGACTTACATGATGTTGCGGTTTGCAGTTGTGGGTGTGCTGATGCGGCTCCAAATTTTGGAGAGACCTACGCTACTGTGAAGGCGAGAAGAGAGATCATGGAACCACAACAACGCGAGCACCAGCGTGCATCAATAGGGCGCGTTGATAGGCTGGTCGAGGCAGGTTAGAGCTTGTAAACCACCGACAATTTTCAAGTGAATCTTTCGGTAGGGCGAGCGTCTTTATTACTCTGAGTCTGTGTTTCCATTGATTTGATTTAATTACTACTTATCTCATTGTGACGAGATTGGGGGTATGACTACCGTACATGAGAGTTAAGCTTGGGTTGGTCATAGATGCGTGAACATGTGGAGCACATTCGAATCAGGTACTAGTCAAATCATCAAGTGTCTCGAAGTCATCTTAACAGAATTTGTGGTGAATGTAGAAGACTGGAAAAGTGATTCCAATGAGCAAGATGGAAATTTTGGCGTGATAAGTAGTGGCTGCACAGTCAGCATTCCATCTGTCACCTTCTGGATCTCAGTTTCTTGAGTAGCTTTTTCATTACCTCTTCTTTGACTTAATTTACAATCGCTTGGGTATCTGTTGTAGCTATATTTTGGCATGAATGTGTTGAGTACACTCACATGGAACGACAGTAGCTGCCTCCGCCATGGTTCTGAGGATAAAGAATTGTCCACATCCATGCGCCCAGTCTAGTTCACGTCTTTGATTTGTGCCTTTCTGGGTCCGTAAACTTAAAAATATTTTATTTTCCTCCTATTCCAACAGATGAGTCACGCTATAACAGACCCTGGTAGTGGTTCTGAGTACATACATGGTACAAATAACCGGAATCAGCGTTTGGTGTAATTTAACGATACTCTTAACAGGCCAATGCTCACTGAATGTGATTGGGATTGGGAGAGCGGTTCAGTCGGAAACGAAAGAAAATGAATCCACTAACATCCAAAAATAAGGTCGATCCAAATTTCCCAAATAACCGCTCATTAACTTTTACTAGCTCTATGCAAAAGCCTTGATGTCCTATCTCGAGAGTCTATTGCCATACTTGTGGCAAAATGAGGTGTAGGTAATGGTGTTTCAGTACTTCAATTCAAATAAATTGTGCAGGGTATTTTTATTCGCCTTCAGCCGTGCAGCTGTTGAAAAAATATGTATAGAGTTTGTACTCAGAAATGCTCCAACTTGGGTTAGTGCGTTATGCAAGGATTTCACATTTGTTTCACTTTGTATGAAGCAGCAGATCATGTGCACTTCCCCTCCCTTTAAGGCAGCGGAGGTAAAGTGTCATGCCTTTAGCCACCTGGCCCTAACGTTATTCAAATAGTAAATCCACTACCAAAATGATGGGGTTTGTTGTGATATCAAAGAAGCCCACTTCAAAAGAACAGCTGTCTGGGATTCCTTGACTGGCAGAAATTCCATGGGGAAAACGCTTTCTATGGATTGCCAAACTTCTAGCAAGTCAGAGCTGAAGGATTAAAATAACATTGCACCTAAGTTATTCCACAGCAGCCATTATTAAGAAATAGCAAATGTGCAAAAAAATAATGCTATTCTAACATCTTTTGTGGCTTAATGGAGAGTAAATCGATGCCGGTCCTCAATAAAAGAAGCAGCTTTTAAATAAAGGAATCCAGTGTTTACCGATCCACGCTTAATAACATGAGTAAAAAGATGTACGCAAAGCTAAAACATCCGATTTAGTATGTATCCCTTGATTTACATCTGTATAACATACTCGATAAACAAAAGTACTACTTTGTGCCCAAAGACGGGATCTATTAGCTATAATTACTGAAAAATAAAAAAGAAAAAGGTTCTGGTCGGATAGTTCTGAGGCTCTTTAGAAAGACTTAAGATTTAAGAGGAATATGTATTGCTGATGCACAGGATTGTAATACAATAGTTGTTTATCTCTCGGTGTTGGCGAGGAGCCACTTGTGACTTGGCCATTGTACTACGCCGGATGAGCTGGTGTTCGGGCCATGCTAGTGGCCCAAGTACCTTCTCTGTGCTAAACACATATGGTCTTTCCGAGTATTATGGCTTTTTTCGTCTTCAGGGAAGTCTCGGGGTGCTAGAGAATGGCTTTGGGGCTACTGGCATGGACCAGAGGCCTATTCTCCGGTGGAGGTAAAGTAGCGCAGCACCAAGTAGTCCGTTGTCATAACTCAAGGATGTAAACCAGTAAAAATCATAGCTCATATACCAACAAAACCTTCTACAAGTCGACTGATGAGGCTAATGTATCATTTTTGAAAGTGGAGGAGAGAAATATTTTGATGAATTATGACCCACTTACGATGGTAAAAAGGGCTGATCAGGTTTAACCAAATGATTATCAATTTAAATTCTGTCATGTTTGCTGTGGGCTTTATAAATTGCATTTTAAATTTTTTATAAGCGCGTTAAACAATCTTGCCTTAAAATCTTCTCCAAACCCAAAGCCTTATTTTTGAAATTTTAAACCCTTTTTGATCCCTAAAAAACTATTTGGAACCCCCAGCTTCCTTAAATACAATGTTGTACCACTATTATTTGTTTACATTCACAAAGTAGTGGAGGGGTAATCGCCTTATTCAGTTGTGTGGGTCGCTCTTGCGCGGCGGTTTGTTGTTGCCTTGTTGCGTGAGTTTGCGTGGACCGTTACTGTGTTCTCCTTAGGTCTGCTGCTTTCCCCTGGTTTCATACCGCACACCCTAAACTACACTGATATCGATTACAAATACGCATTTTGTCTAGTTTCATGTGATATTGCGGCAATTTGAACAC